CAGGCCCTTGCTTCCCAGGGCCTCAGTAGCTCTCAGCAGAAAGATGAGATATGGAAATAATTGCCTAGCACACATTCATTGTATGTGCAGCTTGGAGAAAACAAAAACTATCTATGTTGAAGGTTCCCACTCCCCAAAATCATGTGTTGGACACTTAACCCCCAAATTCATATGTTGATATTTGGAGGTCAGGCCTTTGGGAGATCATTAGGATTGGCGGAGGTCAAGAGACTGTACAGGTGCTTGAACCTGTGATCACAGGGGGCTCCCACCATGTTATAATGCAGCCAGAAGCTTCACCTGCACTGGTATTTCAGCTTTGGTCTCTCTAGCCTCCACAACTATAAGAGATAAACAAACCTCTGTTCGTTATAAATTGTTCAGTCTTTGTCAAGGCAATGATGGGGTAACCCACAGAAACAGCTGACCTGAGCTAGTGGGAGCTCACTGAATCGGGACGGACAACTAGGGAACCTGAATAGGTTCGAACTAGGTCCTTCCTGAATGCAGGTGACAGTGGATGGCTTGAGCAGTTTGTGGGACCACTGGCAGTAAGATAAGGATCTATCCCTAGTGCATGAGCTGGCTTTTTGGAGCCCATTTCCAAAAATGGAGAGATACCTTGCTCAGGCTAGACACAGAGGGGAGGGCCTTTATCTTCAGTGTGGTGATGAGACAGACTTTATTGACTCCCCATGGGATGCCTTACCCTCTCTGAGGAGCAGATGTGGGGGTAGGGTGGGGGAAGGTGGGGGGAGCAAGAGGAGGGGAAGGAGGGGAACTGGGATATAAAACAAAACTGGCATAAAATAAAATTGTTATAAAATAAAAAATAAAGGGATAAATTGTCTTTGGTATGCTGTTACAGCAATAGAAACCGGCAGAGAAACTAGCCAACAAAGCATTAGCACTGGAAAGGCCACTAGAGATGCCTGTGTGGCTCACAGAATGTGCCTTTCTGAAGGTCACAGAGTGGCTTAAGGGCATAAAAGAAACTAGAAGCTGGAAGCCAAACTCAATCTAGGACTCTTGGCTCCTTCTATTGCCCGCCTGCCTCCCTCCCTTCTTTCCTTCCTTCCTTCCTTCGTTCCTGTCTGCCTGCTTGCCTTCCTTTCTTCTTTCCTTCCTCTCTTTCTTCCTTCTTTCCTTCCACCCCCTCCTCCTCCTCTTCTTCTCTCTCTAACCTTCTCTCCCTCTCTCTCCAAACTGATCATGAAAAATCCCAAGTGTATGTTTATAGAATTCCAACAAGCCTCGTAGGAATCCACCACTCAGCTCCTCTGGTGGTCACTGGGGCCTCCCTGTCCCATACAAGCCAGATGCCGTCCTTGTCTCTCCAGGGTTGTGGTCAGGGTCTCTCTACATACCTGTCCATGGCTTCCCTGGAACTCATTGTGTGGACCAGGCTGACCTGGATCTCATAGAGACCTGCCTGCCTCTGCCTTCTGGAGTGCTGGGATCAAAGGTGCGCGCTACCATGCCCAGCCTAGAATCTTCCTTTAAATGAAGATGTGAGAGCGGAGAGGTTCTGCTCAGTGGACAAAGCGATTGTTTAAGTGGTTGCATGATGTTCCAGATTCCATCCCCAACTTTTCATAAAACTGGGCATGGCGGTGCACACCTCTAATCCCAGCATTTTGGAGGTGGGAGAATCAGGAGTTCAAGGTCATCCTTGGTTATGTAGCGACTTCAAGGCTAGCTTGGGACATATAAGACTGTAGCATGACTAATAAAAACCCAGAGACAGATATTGGGGTTCAAACTGAAGACCAGAGAAGCAAAGCAGCTAGCCACTAGCTCTTCCCTCTACCTCAGACCAAAATGGCTGATCCTGTCTCCACGAATCCTCAGAGGCAAAATGCTCCTTCTTCTGTCTTACATTCCTCTCTCTGCCCAGCCATATCACTCCTGTGCTGGGACTAGTGCACCTTCCTAGTGCTGGGACTAAAGGCATGTGATTCCAAGTGCTGAAATCACCTTTGTGTGAGCTGTTTCTCTTTTAGACTGGATCAATTTTGTGTAGCTGCATGTGGCCTTGAACTAACAGAGATCTGCCTGCCTCTGTCTCCTGAGTACTGGGATTAAAGGTGTGCGTCACCACTGCCTGGCCTGTATGGCTTGTGGCAGACTTTGCATTTTGATCTCCAGTTGTTTTATTAGATCATAAACAATATATCATCACATAAGACCCTGTCTCAAAATAAATGAGTAATAAATAGGGCCAGGGAGTTGGCTCAGAGAGTAAAGGCACTTTCCCTGCAAACCTGACGACCTGAGTTCAATCCCTGGAACCCACAAGGTAGAAAGAGAAACTGACTTAAGTGGTCCTATGACCTCCACATTGTACTGTGGAATGCACATTCCACATACATACATACACACATACAAATGCATGTGCACACACACACACAATGCCCACGCACACACACATACACACGCCTATACACATATACATGCACACATATACATACATGCATACACACATATATATACACATACATACACATGCACACACACACACATGCAATGCCCAAACACACATGCACATGCCCACATACATATACATTCACACACATATACACACGCACACACACATACATATGCACATACATACCCATGCACACATATACATATGCACACACATATACATGCACAAATAATATATACACATACACACATATACATGCATACACATATATATACACACATACATACACATGCATACATATACATATACACACACATATATACACGCACACACACATACATATACCCACACACATGAAACAATAAGTGTAATTTGAAATTTTTAATACTGTGATACCCTGTCTCAAGAACAAAAATAAAAACATAAATCTTCTTTTGAGTTTTTATTTTATGTATGTGGGTATTTTTCTTGCATGCATTTTTTAAAGGTTTATTTATTTATTATGTATACAGTGTTCTGTCTGCATGTACACCTCCAGGCCAGAAGAGGGCACTAGATCTCATTACAAATAGTTGTGAGCCACCATGTGGTTGCTGGGAATTGAACTCAGGACCCCTGGAAGAGCAGTCAGTGCTTGTAACCTCTGAGCCATCTCTCCAGCCCCTGTTTGCATGCATTTTTGTTTGTTTGCTTGATAGATTTTTTTTCTGGTTTTTCAAGGCAGGGTTTCTCTGTAGCTTTGGAGCTTGCCCCAGAACTCGCTCTGTAGAGCGGGTTGGCCTCGAACTCACAGAGATCCACCTGCCTCATCCTCCCCAGTGTTGGGATTAAAGGCATGCGCCACCACCGCCCAGCTGCTTGCGTGCATGTTTGCGCACCATGTGCATGCAATGTCCACAGAGGCCAGAAGAGGGCATCGGATCTGCTAGAACTGGAGTTACTGATGGTTGCCATGAATAGGATTATGTTGTAGAGTAGAGAGAGAGCAGAGGTGGGGGCAGAGCTGAGCCAGGTTTCCTTTAGACCATGTACTGCACACCTGTCTTTCAGTTTTTCCAAAAATCCTCGATGTTAACATTCAAGTGTGTCCAGCCTTTTGACACTTTGACACTGCATGGCCATCTACAAAGTTTGAGACCTGCTCGATCAAGGTGAAGGAAATGGGTGTGGGGGAGAAAGGAAGAAAAAGAAAGAAAGAAAGGAAGAAAGAAAGAAAGAAAGAAAGGAAGGAAGGAAGGAAGGGAGAAAGACCAAATCTGGCAATGTTTTAAGTAAGTTTCTGATGTGTTGGCTTGTATTCACAGCCACCCTGAGGTGCACGAAGCCTGTGGGCTGCAGATTGGACACACTCCATTCTCCATTATAAGGTTGGAATCAGAAACATTTCAAATGAGCTGATGCATGAGACTTACCACAGGATCTAGGACATTATAGGTGTGTGTGTGTGTGTGTGTGTGTGTGCGTGTGCACACTCCTGTGTGTGTGTGTGTGTGTGTGTGTGTGTGTGTATACATGGATCTGTTATAACATTGCTGTTGTGGTTTTCCAAGCTGAGGAAACACAAGTTCAAAAGGGTGATCATTTGGCTAGGTCCCTCCACTCCAGTTCTGGCAACAAAGTCTCAAAAGAAAGTCTTAATTTGCCACACACACTAGTTCCGGGGTGAAGGCTCCCATTGTGCCTGGCATTACACTACACATGCTTAACAGCAGCCTGCCATGCCCCACCTGGTGCTGCGCATCTGTTATTCTAGTATCCAGCAGGCAGGGACTACATTTTGAGATCTCATTGAGAGGGGGCGGGGAGAGAAGAAGAAGGGAGAAGGAGAGGGAGAGGGAGGGGGAGAGAGAGAAGCAAACAAAAGAAAACAGCCCACCAAATTCCAGAATGCTGAACAACTGGCTCCAGCCAGCTCCAGGCTGGCCATCACTGCACCAGCTGGTGCGTTGGTGGAGGCTTCAGATCTGAGCCTGGAGGTTTTGTAAAACCTTTGCTATTATAGCAATTTGTGCCATGCTCACTAGGCATCCTTCTGCCCATTTTACAGAACAGGAGACTGAGAGCTGCTGACATTCATCTACCAGCCCAAGCTAGCTCCTTGCAGCTCTACTTCTGGCCACCAGCCACTCTCAGCAACATGGCACACAAACCTATTTGTGACCATCTCCCCCCAAGAGGGAATTTCCCAGACACCTCCAAGATTGGTGGCTCTGCCTCCAAAGCCCTGAGGCAGCTCGGCAGGAGGGAGCTGTTGCTGCCTGGGGTCCTTGCCAAGCCCCACCTGTCCCAACCTCCTGAACTGGAACCTGTCCTGGCCTGTACCTGCCATACGTGGGCTTGGGGAAGTGCTGGTTTTGGCAGTAGGTACAAACAAGGGGCCTTTTTCCTGAGGGTATTGGGATGGATGCAGGGGTGTGACTCATGCACCCTGGTGGGTAGAAGGCTGCAGGCAGTGTAGGGGGGGTGGGGAGAGCAGAATTCCTGGCCCAGGAGAGATTTATAGAGCTGCGGGCAGGCTGGCTTAATGCCAGGTAGGGGTTCAGGGGTGGCAACCTGCCAGTAGTCATCACAGGCTGGGCACAGATGCCCTTCAGGCGTGATGGGAGCACGGAAGTTCTCGTGCCTCTAGCTGTCCCTGTCTGCTGTCACGCATATGTGACTGCTGAGCTGAACTTGTTTGCACATGTTTCCAAGAGTCATGAAGTAAAGGGACAGAGGGGACATCCCTCCCCTCATCTCAGATCTCCAGGGGAGCAAGAGAATCTCCATGCTGATGAGAGGTTAGTTAATGTGTGGGCTATGTGCTAATGGGGTAGGGTCTTCAGACTCAGGAGAAGGGCTGCTCCCCGAATCCTGAGGGAGCTCAGAGGAGTGAAATATCCCAGAATACTAGTGCTTAGGGGCAAGGTGTGGAGAAGGGGGGCCTCTTGGTTTTGGAAGAGAACAAGAAAGGCAGGGATATTGGCAGGGTGGGGAGGGAAGGCGGATGAGAAGGGTGACTGAAAGGCCACACAGCTTGTAGCTGGTTTGGCCATGGAGCTAAAAAGCCAAGGCTGGAGGTGGTCCAGGTAAGGGTTCAGTGTGGAATACAGTTACAGCTTCTGGCTGCTCTGTCTCCCCTCCCAAAGGTGACTGAGTCACAGGGCTACTTTCTGGAGCATACTCCTCCCCCCAACATGAAAGAGAGAGTGACCACACATCTTCCTACTTCCTACTTAACCGTTAATCTCTTCTCTGAAATCAGAAGTAAGGTCCTAATTCTGAGCATGCTTTGTCAAGTCTCTTTCCCTCTCTGAGCTGCCTATGACCTCATATGGAAAACAAAATACCTACCTCATAGCAGGACTGTGAAGATTAAATGAAAGGGTGGACATGGCAAAAATGACGTCAGGTTCTATTGCACACAGTAGGGGTTCCATAAGTGTCAGCATTTTGGAGAATGGGCCAGGGATAGAGCAAATGGCATCCTTATATGCTGCCTATCCTGTGTTCCTAGGCAGGGAGTCAGTTGAACCCCAATGTACCCAACCTGGGCTAGGATCTCAAAGCCACCCCCTTCCACCAGCAAAGGAGGTTTTTAGTTCTTCAGTCCCCCTCTGACTGAAGATCTCTGTGGGTTACCAGCTGTCCTGAAGGTCCCATAGAGTGGGGGCGCCAGAGAGAGACTTTGCTGATCTTCCTAGGACACAGCCTGGCTTTCTGGGAAGATGGAGAAACAGCACATTCCTCCCGAAATAATCCTACAGCTATTTCCAGCGCTCCTGTGCCCAGGCCAGAAATGGCCAGTGATCTCCATGCCTGGATACCATCAGGACAAACAGCCTAGAGGCCCAGCCCTCAGCTGGCTGCCTGCCTGCCTGCCTGACCTCCCAGCCCCCAGCCCAGTGCTGCACCCAGCCCTGGCTCAGGCCTCAAAAGAGAGTGGTGGACACCACTTTCCTTGTTTACCGAGTTCCCCACAGTTCTTCATCTAGGGGCCTCTGGGTCCCTCATCTCCATCCCTTGATTAGCTGACTCACACCCAGAGGCAGAAGGGTCTTCATTCTCAGCAACTGCACACTGAGGAGGTCCCGGGACACAGGGCTACAGTGATTTGCACTACGCTATCTGGTCATTAGGAAATGGGCTGGACCCAAATTGGAGGACATTCTGCCAGTAACTAGTTTGCTCCAGTCTAAACCCCTAGTGCCATCAAAGATGAAGGAAAAGTGAGAGGGTAGAGAGATGTCTCTGTTAGTAAAGAGCTTACAAGAAGGAGGACCTGAGCTCTGGGTCCCCAGCATCCTGTAAAGTGCTGGGTGTGGCAATGTGTGCCTGTATCCCAGCATTAGGGAGCTTCCTGGGGTTTGCTGGCCACCAGCCTTACCAAATGGATGAGCTCCAGGTTCAGTGGGGTGATCTTCCTTCAAAATGTAAGGTGGGGAGTGATGGAAGAAGATACCAGACATCTACCCAGCAGCCTCTGGACTCCACACATGTATACAGACAGAGAGAGAGAGAAAGAGAGTTTCCAGACTAAAGGAGACAAAAGAGACTTGATAACTAACGGCACGCTGATCAGGATGGACAGTCCAGGGACAACTGGTGAAATTCAACTTTGGATTAATGTGTTAACTTCTCCTGGGGAGACTTGAATGTTACTCACCATAGATAGTGTACCAGGACAAACAAAAACAAACAACTCCAACCAGTTTTAGACTGGTAAACAATGAGTTTATTGGCCTTTGTTTCTATTTTTTGAGACAGGTTTTCTCTCTGTAGCCCTGGCTGTCCTGGAACTCACTCTGTACACCAGGCTGGCCTTGAACTCAGAGATTCGCCTGCTTTCTGTCTCCTGAGTTCTGGGATTACAGTTGTGTGCCACTACCCCCTCCCCCGATTTATTGGTTTTTTATAGAAGAATGGGAGAAGGGTGACTAACAGGACTGTGAATGATCCCCCCCCAAAAGCCACTTCACTGAAAAAGCTCACCCCAGCATTGGTGGCAACCTCCCAGAGCTATCTCTATGGTGTCCCCCCCCCCTTAGTACACCTTCTACTTTCTGTGTACTCTAGCCCCTCCCAAGTCCACACCCCCTGGAGCAGAAACACATGCCTCTGGGAGGAGCCCAGGAGTGGGTGGCTGGAATCTTGGGTGAGGATCCAGTGACCTCCCTCGTGCCGTCCTTCTATGAGGGAACAACAGCAGGCCTGATCTTGAGGGTGTCTTGGATAAAGATAGTAATGGCTGCTGTGCTCTAAGGATGGTAGTACACAACAGAACTATCTATTTAATACTAAAGGATCCATGTCCATGTTAAGCATCCTGGATCTCCGGAGCCTGTGAGAGGTTAAAAAGTATCCCTGTCCTCTCAGTGTGTAGAGAGACACACTGAAGCCATCAAGGATAAAAGCTGCTGTTGTCCGCTGCTTACTCAGCATAGCAATGTATATGTGCGTGACTTAAGTGCTAAATGTGTCTAATTAGAGGATTTGAATGGGGAACATGTGGGGGCCAGAAAGACAGTTCAATGAATAAAGGTGCATGCTTGCCAAGCCGCATGACTCAAGTTTAATCCCTGGAAATCACAAGGCAAAATGAGAGAACTGAGCCGGGGAGTGGTGGCGCACGTCTTTAATCCCAACACTTGGGAGGCAGAGGCAGGTGGATCTCTGTGAGTTCGAGACCAGCCTGGTCTACAGAGCTAGTTCCAGGACAGGCTCCAAAGCCACAGAGAAACCCTGTCTCGAAAAACCACCAAAAAAAAAATACATACTACATATACACACATAGTATATATATAGTATATATAATGTATGTTATATATACACATACAGTATATATATTTCATACATATTATATATATACTGTCATATATATAAGTAGTTATATACAGTACACACACACACACACACACACACACACACACACACACACACGTATTATATGAGAGGGAGATTGATTTTCCAGTATTGGCAGTTGAACTCAAGTCATGTATATACTCTGCAAACCCTCTACCACTGAGACATACCTCAGTCTTCCCCCATCTCTTTGTTTCCTGTGGCACTGAGGCTGAAATCCCAAGGCTTTGTTTGTTTGTTTGGTTGATTGGTTGGTTGGTTGGTTTTTAGTTTTCTGAGACAGGGTTTCTGTGTGTATCCAGGCTGGCCTCGAACTCACAGAGATTCGCCTGCCTCTGCCTTCCAAGTGCTGGGATTAAAGGCGTGCGCCACCAACACCTGGTGCTAATCCCAAGTCTTGAACAAGCAAAAGCGGTGTTCTATCAAGTCTTGGACACTCTGATGAAGCTGCCTTCCTCCTCACCTCTCACTCTTTTCCTGTGCTTTCTGGAAAAGTCCTGAGCTTAGGAGGAGGAGGGAGAGAGAAACAGAGGAAGCCCATAAAGAGAAAGGTCAGAGGGAGGTGGTAGGGAGCCAGAGCTGCCCCGACTCTCTTCGGGAAGCTCGGATAATGAACAAACACCATAGCACCTCAGTCAGAAACTTAACTGACCGTCTAGAACCAAACTCTATTTTCAATATGAGGTAAAAATGGGATGGAGAGAAAAGCTCTTCCTAGGAAATAACATGAGGTCTTAGGGGAGGATGTGGCCCATTCACTCAGCACCCACTTACTGAAGGAGTCCTGGGGACCCAGTCCCAGTTGGGGACATGGGGTTCAGAAAGGAACTCTGAGAAATGTCCTTGAAGAGATTTCACCCTCCATCTGAAGCCTGACACACAACAGGTACTCTACAAAGAATTGTTGACTGGGCTGGGTGGTGGCTTACTCCTTTAGTCCCAGCGCTCGGGAGGCAGAGGCAGGTAGATCTCTGTGAGTTCAAGGCCAGCCTGATCTACAAAGATACATAGAGAAACCCTGTTTTGAAGAAGAAAAAAAAAAAAAGAATTGTTGACTGCTTTCAGTCCACTAGAATGGGTTCCCCAAAGGGACAGCCCTTGGAGGAGGCTGGATCAACACAACGAGAGAAGACACTGATACTGAATGCAGCTAGCCTGAGTTGTGTCAGAGCTTGCACAAATCTTTCAATTCAACACAAGAAAAACAAATCCTGGAAAACAGCCACCTTAGTCTAGGCTCAAAAACAGGGCCATCTGCCCTGGCAGGTTCATAGTAGTTCCTGCCCTGAGGCTGGGGCCTGGGCGGAATGACCCCAGGAGGCCCTTCCCTGCCTTAGGATTCTATGATTCTATGACATGGCCAGCAGTCTGAAGCGGTACATTGCAGGTGTCCCCAGTGGAGAGTCAGGGAGGTCTATGTCATCTGCCTCCTAAGAGCCAGGGTAAGAGAGGAACCAGGCCTATGGTAGGCAGATGGGGCACCATAGACCATCAAGGGGAGGGGATTTGAGCTGGGGCAGCCCTCAGTTCCCACTTTTTTTTCTAGAATAGGGGGTGAGGTGGGGTTGGGCCAAGCAGGGAAGAGAGGCCAGGGCTTAGACATGCCACCCATTTTAGACCCAAAAGACAAGGGCAGCTGAGGGGCCACGGGTGGGGAAAGAGATTTGCAGCTGTTTCCTGGGTGGGGCAGACTCAAATACTGTTCTGTTGGCACTGGGCAAATATCAGAAGTCAGGCAGAGCTGGCAGTAGTGGGGGAGACTCCTGCAAGGGTGGAGGGCTGGCCAGTATTGGAGACCCAAGGGAGCAAAAGAAACAACTATAGGGACTTTATTACCCAGGGACAGGACGGAGCTTAATGGAGTCAGCATGTCATTAGCCTGGCCAGGCTTTAGTCTCCATAAAATGCCTACTTCAGGACCAGAAAGAGTGGGAATTCTGTGCCTCTCTGTTCAAGTGGGGCAAATGAAGAAATCCCATTCTGTCAGAGGAGATTATAATCAAACAACCTGGCAGGATTTTTTTTTTTTTTTTTTTTTTTTTGAGATTCATGTAGCCAGGATGGCTTTGAACTCACTATGTGGCTAAGGGCTGCCCTTGAACTCTGTCTCCTTTGTTCTGGGAGCAGGGGCATCTGTCCATTGAGAATAGAATGTTACTTCCCTCCTTATGTTGCAGCATGTAAGACGGGGTGGCGAAGGGCACAGTGCATAAGTCGAGCCTACAGCACAGGGTCTGGGGTGGGGGAATTAAGAATGCGGTTAGCACTGTGAGCTAGCTAGATGTGGGTGTCATCTAAGGGCTGTCTCTGCTTCATTCAACATTAGAGACTGTCATTTGGCTTTTATGGTATACTGGGGTCCCTGCTTTGGAATTTGAGAAATGTGGGTTCAAAGAACAGTCTGTCCCTCATTTCCTAGAGAGGCTGCTCTCTGTATACCTCATTCGGCTGCCGTCATCAGGTCTGGGACACTCTGATGGCTCTGCCTTCCGCCTCACATCTCACCCTTCTCTTGTGCTTTCTAGAGAAGTCCTGAGCCTGGAAGGAGAAGGGAAGAGGGAAGCAGAGGAAGAGAAAGGTCAGAGGGAGGTGGCAGGGAGCCAGAAGTGACCCAACTCTGTCTTTGGCAGGTCCAGGTAACCAACCAAACATTGTCACACCTTAGAAAATTGACCCAGCCAAGATGTCTGGACGCCAGGTGAGTCGGTCCAGCGCTTACAGCCGCCTGAGCAATGCCAGCAACACTTCCATTCCTCTCCGAACTGCAGGCTGCACTCAGCACTCCGATATGAACAACATCAAGGACCCGGGTACCCGGTTCCCAAACTCTGAGTTCAGCACCTCCAGTGGCCACTCAGAGCTGTCCTTCAACCCTGCCTCCCTCCAACTTCCTTTGGGGAAAATATGCATGGGCTCACCCTACAGCTCCAGGTGTGTAGAGACAAGTAACCTGATGAAAGGACCCAAGGTGGCCAGAAAGCCCACTTGTCAACGTAGCAATCCCCACTGCCTGCTCTGCACAGATCGTCCCTCATGCCCCTCCAGCCCTACCTTCCTGGACCAGCTCATCAAAGGCATCAACTACCTGGACAGATCCACCAACCTTTTCAACAACAGCTACCCCAAAGCTCTGAGTTTGCCTCAGCTGGCGGCCACCTGCCTGGAACGAGCTGCCAACTCACTTTATCTGGGCCCAATGGACCAGGCCCCGCCCCACAGCTATTCTACTCCCAGCACTAACATTGCCAACACCGCCCATCACTCTCCAATCAATAACTGCTTGGTCCCTTCCATTCGAGACCCCAACCCTCTGCACTACATAGGAGGTTCCACGGGCTTAAACTGCCCGCACCAGCCTCACAACCAGAGCTTCTCTGCCGAGATGTCTGAGAGGCCAGGTATAAAACTACCAGAGATCCCTCTGTTAGGCAACGGGCTCTTTTCCTTAGGTCGTCTACCCAAGTTCTGGGAAGCAATCCGCTCTGGATGGAATGCCCCTGAATCCACCCCTAAGCCCACGGGCTGGTGGTGATATGGATGCCAGTTTTCTCCTGTGGGCACATGGCCACAGTGTGGAAAATAAATTGATCTAAGACAAACCAGGGGGTCTGGTGTTTTTACTCCTAAAATGGAGAGTCAACTCTGCTACTCAGGCTCAGGCTGGAACCCCTGACACAAGCAATCTCTCCCCCGTTTTAAAATGTGAGACATGGTTGTCCTGGTCAGGGTTACTATTGCTATGATGAAACACCATGACCAAAAGCAACTTGGCGAAGAAAGGGTTTATTTGACTTCCACTTCCACATAGCACTGCTCATCACTGAAGAAAGTCAGGACAGGAGGTCAAACAGGGCAGGAACCTGGAGGTAGGAGCTGATACAGAGGTCATGGAGGAGTATTGCTTACTGTCTTGTTCCTCATAGCTTGCTCAGCCTGCTTTCTGAATAGAACCCAGGCCCACCAGCCTGAGGTGTTCCCACCCAGAATGGGTTGGGCCCTCCCCCATCAATCACTGAAAAAATGGCCTACAGGCTTGTCTATAGCCAAATCCTATGAAGAGATTTTCTTTTCTCAATTGAGGGTCAATTGATATAGGTTGTATAAAGTTGATCTAAAACTAGTCAGTACAAGGGTCTTATATAGCTCAGGCTGTCCTCAAATTCTATGCAGCCAAGGGTGACCTAGAACTCCTGATCTCCCGGGCTCTACCTCCAGAGTGCTGGGATTACAGATATATATTACCATATTTTGTTTGTGGCATCAAACTCAAGGCCTAATGCATGGCACCAACAGAGCTAGAACCCTAGTCCCCAAGGGTCATTTTTCTAGTTCAGATTCTCTATTGGCTAGGAGGCATGAACAAATATGTGTTGGAGATCTGATTTTTTTAAGTTATATTTATTATTTGTGTGTGTGTGTGTGTGTGTGTGTGTGTGTGTGTGTGTGTGTGTGTGTCATGCACACACACTTGCTCATGTTCCATTGTGTAAGAATGCAAACTAGAAGACAACTTACAGAAGTCAGTTCTTTCCTAGCATGTGGGTCTAGCTGGGATTGAACTCAGATCCTCAGGCTTAGCTGCAAGTGCCTTTACCTGCTGAGCCATCTCACTAGATCCTGATTTTTTTTTTTACATGTTTGGAACAGATGTAAGAATGTCACAGTGCCCTCTGAATGAACAAAAATATTTGCAGCCAAATGTGAATCCCACAAATCTCAGAAATCTCTAGTTTAAGTCTCTGGGAGAACTGTTACTATGCAGTGGGGGCTGTTCTCAGCTCTTCTTTTCTTGAGACAGGCTCTCACATAGCCCAGGCTGGTCTAGAACTCTGGAGTTCTGTGATAACAGGTATGTACCACTGAGCAGGCTCAATTGTGTCCTTTTTCACATGGACACAATGAACCTTTTTTTGATGGCCAGTGTTAGAGGCATCCAACAGACAACCAGGCTTTCCCACAGAATGAAGGGTGGTCCTGCTGGGTGCTCTCCAAAGTCACTGAGTCCATCTGGACTGGGCGAGGCTAGATGAAGTGGCCTTCCCTTCAACTACCTTGAATGTCTGGGAAAATATTGCCTGGGCCACTGAGGATACTCAGATCCCAACTGACTTAGATTCAGAGCTATCAGCCCCATATAGAACCTAGCTGCCCCCCCTCCCCCCAGGCCTCGGGTCCTTTGCTCCTCTCTCCAGGTCTGTTTTCTCCATCTGCAGTTTAGATGTGTAGCTTCATTGATCTATGGGCTCCTGGACTCATGTTTCTGAGTGTATTCTCTTGTCCTAGGCCAGACCTGGAGACTCTTAGACTGAGAACTGAGAGTGACCCACACGAGCACTCTAGTTCCTGTAACTCCCAGCCATCATGCTGGGCTTCCCATTACACACCTTAGGGCCAGTTTTGTATGGCTGTAAACCTGAGACCTGGTCCTTACTATTGACACTCTCGTCTCCCTGGCAACGTGAAGGCCAACAGCACCTCTGACTATAGAAGGGGGTCACTTGAGAAAATGTAGAACTCTGAGGCTCCCAATATTCCTTTGTGCTTAGAAGTAACAGTGACCTGCTGAACCCAAGCAAATTCCTATGGTCAAGCAGAGAGGTTAACAGGCCCAAGTGTCCCCCTCATGGGATCACAAGGACAGGAGGAAGGAAAAAAAAAGAGGCATCAAGCTCCTGACCCATTGAATTCACGAATTCACTCCCATCTTTGATTCCTTCTTTGGTTCCAGGCTCAGCAGGCAGCAATCTCAATTCTCTGTCCCTTGTTTCTCTCCTCCCCAGAATAAGATGCCCACTGAGTCCACACCTACCAGTTCCCTTCCCCCAGATGGACAATCACAGGGACAGTTTGTCAGAATCCATTCTGCTCTAGCATGAGAAACAGAGCTGAGTTTGGAGCTCTTTGTACAGCTGCTCAAAGTCACCGCTGTTCTGACCTGGATCTGTGCTCATTTGGCTCTAAGGCAGAAGAACAGACTACCCCCGGCTTTTCTTGAAATGTTCCCCTCCAAAATGGTCCACTTTCCTTGAACTGGAATGCAGGGCCCTTGACTAGGGCACCGCTCAGCTTTACTAGCACCTGGCCCGGTCTGGCTCACAGTAAATCCTTTTTTATAATGCTGGTAGACACTGGACCTTGTGGCCAACAGGTGCTCCATAACAGTGACACTGCTATCCTCAGAAGTATGACAGAGCCTCACTTGTGGCTGCTCAGTAACTCATACTATTAATAATGCCAGCCAACATTTATTAACTCTTAATTATATGCCAAGCATTATCTAAAGTGCTTTGGATGTATTCAATTCTTTCAAAAGGAAGATATTTCTTCACAATATTACAAAAAGGAAAAATAAAAACTCTAGTCACATTTTAGTGTCGTTTCCTGTTGCTTTGATAAAATGGCAGTAGCCATGTAGGGAGAAAGGGCTTATTTTAGGTCATAGTTAAGGTACAGCCCATCATGGCGGGGAAGTCAAAACAGTAGGAGCTTGAAATAGATGGTCACACCGAGCCTGCTGTCGGGAAGCAGAGAAGGATGGATAAAGCGCTGCTGGGCTTGCTTTCTACAGTCCAGGATCCTCTGCCAGGAGAGTGGTCCTGCCTACAGTTACTGGAAACTACTACAAATCATTTGAATGAATACAAAAGAGACTAAGGGTTTGACTCCTCGGTAGTGAAACACAGTAGGTAAGTGACAAATCTAACAAGATGAATTCTTTCCTCCCAAGGACATGCCTCCATGCTGTGGAAATAGGTTAAAAACAGTTCTTTTTAATCTTTTCAAAATTTTTGTTCAAGTACTGGACCCAGGGCCTTATGCTAGAAGAGAACTTTGACTCTGAGCTACAGAACAAGTTACAGGCTGGTTTTAAACTCATGATCTTCCTGTCTCAGTTTCCCAAGCATCTGGGATTACTAGCCTGGAACTCACTATGAAGACCAGGTTGCTCAGGAGCTCACAGAGATCTGTCTACCTCTTCCTCCCAAGTGCTGAGATTAAAGGAGTGCACCACCATGCTGGAACTTTCCTATTTAAATGAGATCTGCCTATTAATCGTTCATCTAGTAACTAGTCACTAAACTCTGACTTGAAAGAGACTGTGTTTTCCTTTAAAACAACAGAAGAAGTTGGGGGTAGTGGCTCATACCCATAGTCACAGGGGCCAGCCTAGGCTGAGACCCTTTCTTCAAAACAACCATGAAAAGAAGTGTACATGTGTCTGAGAGCAAAATATGTTGAGTCTCTAAAATACAGACATCTCAGGACCGTGACTCAGTTTCACCTAAGTTAGGCCTATGTCAGAAGTAAAGGTGAGGCCAGCAGCTGAGGCACCATAGCTCCTTTTTCTATCCATGTGTTCTTCCCAGGCACTACAGAAGGAAATGGCAAGGGCTTGGGCTGACCTCTGAAGCACTAAGCCAATGCATCTGGCTGCACCTAGCCCTTTAATCGTCACACCAACTCTCTAAGGAAAGCACTATTGCCATTTTATGGAACAGGACACTGTGATGCAGAGGAATCAAGTGTAAATAATTTCAACAAAGTGCCTGGAACTCAGTGGCCTTCAAAGCCTGCTCAGCATCATGAGAGAGCACCACATTCGGAATGGGTATGCCATCATCCTTATCGTCATGATTACACTGGGAAAGGAGCGAATGCACACAGTGGGTACACAATGTGTGTCACATATCATCAGAGGACCCAGTACATAGTAGGTGCTCAGGTCAACTTTGCCCATTGGCTGGGGATTAGATGACAGCACGTAGGGACAGGAGATCTGCCCTTGATCCAAATTGCTCCCTGGGATGGAAGCCCAATAGTCACAAGTCCCTTCCACAGGCTATTGAATCCAAATCTAGAGAAAATAAACATATTTGAGAAGGTCCCCCTGCTCCTGCCAGCCATGCTGAAGCCACAGGAGGTCCCCCAAGAGCAGTTCAAGCCATACACCTGCAGGGTCCATGTAAACAGGAGGCAGCATGCTGGCTGCAGAACAATACTGTGGCCTGATGTGCTATCTCCCTTGTGTAGCATGGATGTGACACTGGGTGTCACCACAGTGGGGTGGGGGTGGTCAAGAAGGTCCTTCATACCTGCTGAAATGTTCCACTGTTTGTGGGTACTCCCCGTGCTTGCCAGGCTTGAGCCAGGGCCTCAGCTCTCTGTGTCTGGCAGGCTTTTTTTTTTCCTGTGTGTGTGTATGAACAAGTCCCATGGCACATGTGTGTGGGTGAGGGGACAACTTGTGGGGGGTTCTTTCCTATCAAGTGGGTGCTGGGGATTGAACTCAGGTTGTCAGGCTTGGTAGAAAACATCTCTCCCTGTTGAGCCATCTTGCCAACCCTACTGAATAGATTCTAAGAGAAGTAGGGAGGGAAACTAGGCTTCCAAAATACAATGAATTGAACAAATCAAGGGGGATGTTTATCTGGAAGAGGGGTTGGGTTGCTCCCCCCAAATGATGTCTCCCCTGCCTGCCCCCTTTCTTTTCTTTTTGAGGCAAGGTCTCACTATGTATCCCTGACTGGACTAGAACTCAATATATACAATAAGCTGGCACAGAATTTGTCTTGATCCTCTTGTCTCAGCCTCCCATGTGT